GTCACCCGACACACAGAGGGAAACTTGTGGCAGGGGCGGGCTGGCAAGCAGGCGGGAACGGCCGACCTCTCAGTCTCTCCCCCTGGCCGGCAGGCTCCGATCAGCTGATGGTGAGCAGGGAACTGGGGGTGGGGGATGCGGGCGGCTGCAGGCCAAGGCCCCCGCCCCACCAGTCTCCCCACACACAGAGGGAGACCGCGGTGGGGGCAGGGCCGGTGAGCGGGCAGGAACAACCAACCTCTTGGTCCTTCCCCCCAGCTGGCAAGCTCCAATTGCCCGATGGCAAACAGGGAACCGGGGGTGGGTGGTGGCAGGGGGCGGGGCCAGCTGCCAGCAGCCGGCTGCAGTCAGCTGGGGAAGATGGCCCTGATCACAGGCCTGTCCTAGGGACCGTACCTGCGCACAATTTTCATGTGCTGGGCCTCTAGTGTATACATAATATAATGCCTAGAGTAAACACAAAACAGCTATTCAGAGAAATAGGAGTCAAAACATCCTATATAATAAAACCCTAATATGCAAATCGACCGAACAGCGGAACAGCTGGTCACTATGATGCACACTGACCACCAGGAGGCAGATGCTCAATGCAGGAACTGCCCCCTGGTGGTCAGTGTGCTCCCACAGAGAGAGCGTCGCTCACCCAGAAGCCAGGCTCATGGCTGGCAAGCAGAGCAGTGGTGGCAGGCGCCTCTCCTGCCGTTCCAGTGCACAAATTTTGAGCACCAGGCCTCTAGTTGTAAATAAATTGAGATCGAATTCTAAAAAACATTCAACTAACCCACAGGCTTCTTTTTCCTCTCCTACTACTACTGAAAAGGGATTTAAAGTACAGGCTATTATATTCCTAGGCAGGACAGGTGTTGCTCAAGTTTGAATACTCTGATGAGTCACATACTCTAGGAGTAGCATTTTCAAAACACTTACACTATTAGCTTTGACATTACTCTCATACATTGCTGATGGGAGTAGAAATTGGTACAATTTTATGAAGAACAATATATCAACATCCTAACAAAATTATAAGTGTTCATACCCTTTGGTCCAGCAATATAATGAGTTATAACCAACATTCTAAAAATGAACAGGATAGGAAAAAAACTCATACAGGACACCTAGTAATGATAAGGATATTTCCTAAAACTATCGTTTCAGGTTTGTGTTGATGAATGTGCATATATATGTACTGGGTGACAACATAAATATATTTTTGACTATAGGTTGTGGTCAATGAAGTTTGGAAGCCATTGTTTCAGCTCATAAAGAAAGTCTGGGACAAAGGACAGCTGACACGTTGGGAAGGGAGGGTTCAATTCTAAGACGTGAAGAAGTGAAAGGAAAGCAGGCATATAAAGAGACAAAGCAAACACAAGGTAGTACGCTATCAAAGTACACAGAACCATGAGGAAACATGGCCTATCTGGGGG